AGGAAGTAAGCACAAGATGCCGAACACCCTTAGCAGGATGCAGCGCACCCTTCATGCGACTCGCCGAATATCTCACGGCGCTTCGCGCTTGGTGATGTGAGAGCCTGGTCCGGTGAGAACCCGGCGTGCTCCGTCCCGGCTTTGTAGGGATGCGGGGTCAATTGTCTAACGACTACGGCATGCACGACTATGAGTACCCCCCCCCCCCCCGATCCCTCGTCGCGTGTCCGTGTTGGTTCTCTTATCTCCCGTACAAACACACACGCACACCCAAAGCACACCGCGCGGCGAGTGTGTGTGGAAATCCTCTTGGCCGTGCTGATGCTCCTTTTCCCGGTGCTGGTGACCCTACTCAGCTTCGTCTTTTCGGCCGAGAACCTCATGCAACGCTCCGAGGTAGGGCAAGGGATGACCCCTGCTGCTGCTGCTGCTGCTGCTGCTGCTTCTGCTTCTGCTTCTGCTGCTGTTTCCTATGCTTGGGGAAAAGGGGAGAGAAGGGGGGCGGTAGGAATATTAGTATTGCTTCGGCGGTAGTGGTAGACAATAACGACCGACAAGGGCGGGGGGGTCGTGCGTGCCGCTGTTGCTATTTTTGTTTTGTTCGCACGACATGGGGATTGCACGCATAGTTGGAAGGGTTGTGCTGCTGCTGTGTGACGCAAGCCAGACGATGGCCATAGCACTGAAGCTAAACACCGAGTGACGGTCACGATGACGCTTGGCTTGGCTTGTCCGTAACGGAAGGAGGGGGGGGGGAAAGGCGATTTGGTGGTGTCAATAGTGACATGTGCCCAGCAACACAGAACCATATCCTAGAACCATAACGCGTATCATGTGCATTGGGGCGTTCTAGATGAGCATTTGCGGCAGGGGGGCGTTCTAGTCTTTGTCGAGTAGATTACCATCACCACCACCGTGGACTTGATATTTTGCCGCTTGTGCCCCACTTGCAGCAAGTTACAGCCTACCTGTCACTGAAACCCGTCCCCGCCCCACCGGTGCCGCTTTTCTTTTTTTTTTCTCGCCCCTCGTCATTGAAACGAACGTCAACCTCGGGGACTGCACGGGTTGGGTGGTTGATGATGAAACGGTCAGGTGGTGAAGAACCTTTGTCGACGGTCGTCGCTGTTCGAGAGCGTTGTCGAGCTGACGCAGCCGATGGCCGTGATCACGGTCATGGCGACTCTGCCACTCCTGCTCAGATGGGTCGGACACTTCGAGGCAAGCGAGGCCTCCTGCTCCTGCTGCTGGTGTTGTTGCTGGTGTTGTTGCCCTCTGTGGTTGCTGCTGCTGCTGTTGTTGCTGCTGCTGTTGCCCTTTGTGGTTGTTTAGCTGTTATGTTGTCGGTGCATCTGCTCTTGGGCTTGTAGGGGCTTCGATTTGGTTCATTTGTTTTTTTGTTCCAGACACATGAGACGATTGTGGTGCGCGTCAATAACCCGAAGGTTTGTGTTTATCGTTGTTGTTCGTTACTGCACCGCCCCGCCCCCATCTCGAGCCCGATTTTGCGGAACCCCGACAAGGTTGGTCTTGAATTTTTTGAGTTGCGGAATCCACTGTCGATAGTAGCTAGTTACGGGACGCAGGGGAAATCGAGCACCTCCCCCGCCTTCCCTTCCCCTCTCCACGGTTGCTTTTTTTTCGTGCAGGGCAATCTGGCGGAGAGCTGGGTCCAGATGCAGACCCTCTCTCGGTACTTCACGTTCCAGGTCCTCAACGTATTCCTCGTTACGACTGTCGCCGGATTCGCGGTCGAGGTGCGTGCTTGCCTTGCCTTGCCTTGCCTTGCCTTGCCTTGCCTTGCCTTGCCTTGCCTTGCCTTGCCTTGCCTTGCCTTGCCTTGCCTTGCCTTGCCTTGCCTTGCCTTGCCTTGCCTTGCCTTGCCTTGCCTTGCCTTGCCTTGCCTTGCCTTGCCTTGCCTTGCCTTGCCTTGCCTTGCCTTGCCTTGCCTTGCCTTGCCTTGCCTTGCCTTGCCTTGCCTTGCCTTGCCTTGCCTTGCCTTGCCTTGCCTTGCCTTGCCTTGCCTTGCCTTGCCTTGCCTTGCCTTGCCTTGCCTTGCCTTGCCTTGCCTTGCCTTGCCTTGCCTTGCCTTGCCTTGCCTTGCCTTGCCTTGCCTTGCCTTGCCTTGCCTTGCCTTGCCTTGCCTTGCCTTGCCTTGCCTTGCCTTGCCTTGCCTTGCCTTGCCTTGCCTTGCCTTGCCTTGCCTTGCCTTGCCTTGCCTTGCCTTGCCTTGCCTTGCCTTGCCTTGCCTTGCCTTGCCTTGCCTTGCCTTGCCTTGCCTTGCCTTGCCTTGCCTTGCCTTGCCTTGCCTTGCCTTGCCTTGCCTTGCCTTGCCTTGCCTTGCCTTGCCTTGCCTTGCCTTGCCTTGCCTTGCCTTGCCTTGCCTTGCCTTGCCTTGCCTTGCCTTGCCTTGCCTTGCCTTGCCTTGCCTTGCCTTGCCTTGCCTTGCCTTGCCTTGCCTTGCCTTGCCTTGCCTTGCCTTGCCGTCGGAGTTGTGTTTGTTTTTGTGCTACGAGCGCGTGCCGCTACTGTTGTTGTCGGTGGTGGTGGTGATGGTGCTTATGGTTGGGAGGGTGGAGAGTGGTGGTGCTCGGCGATGTTGATGTTTGTTGTTGCCGTGTCGTTGTGGTTTGGTTGCTGTCGTCGTAGGTCCTGTCGTTGCAGTAGGCTTCCTCCGCTGCTGCTGTTGCCGGTACCCGTGCGTGATTCCCTGTAGCTGGACAGCCCTCCCTCTATCGACACACCGATGGAATGCTCGATGCAGATGAGAGCGGAGGAGACGCACCACACGGGGGCTGCTATGTCACATGAACCATAGAATACGTAGCACATTACCGTGACTCCGGTGTGTGCATACGTCCGCGAACACATGCATTCGAAATACATTGTCCAGCGGTGCACAAAAAAATTGCTTGAAAATCTCGTTGAAATGTTCGCGTCAAATTTTCCACCCCCGGCGTTTTTTTGCCAATTTCCCAAGTCTTCCATTTTTTCCCGCCGCCGCAGATCTTGACACAGCAGCTGCACGCGCAGATCGTGAGACGGCTCATGGACGATCCTTCCGTGTTTTTCACGCTCTTGGGAGAAACTCTGCCGAAGGTCAAGCGTGGTTGTATTCACTTGTCTCTTCTCTACACAACGCAGTGATTTGTCCGTTCGTTGTGCTACCGTAAGCGATCGACAAGTTTGTTGTTGAAATCCTTCGCGTGCGTGTGCTGTGGAACAATGCGGGCGAAATGCTCACGGGCGTGTGATCGATTGATGTTCCAAAGCTCGATTGCTCCACAACCAGTACAATGTCGAAAAAAAAATCGTGGTACTGTACCTCGTCGTCGAGAGCTTACCTCGCACGTGTGTCAATCGGGGCGGGTCTCGCACCTTCGCTCTTGGCTGTGGAGTAGTCCAACTTTTTACAGATCGATCGATTCGCACACTTGTCTATGTCGGCTACGGTACTTTCGGCTCGGGGAGGCTCCCCTTGTGGTAGCGTGTGCGTCAACGTACAACTTGAGAAGTGGTATACTTCTCTGGGGATCGGGCCCTTCGGCCGACACCATGTGTGGTGCTTCAGTTTCAGGGGGAGAATACGCACAAAGGATTTATCTGCTTCGCCCACTCCCCCCCCCCCCC